TAGAAATTGACCGCCAATTAATTACCAGTAAGGAGGATCATGAAAATATAAAAAAGCCCTATGAGGGATCAAGTAATTGTGTTCGTGAAAAAAACAAAATCCAAACAAAAACACTTTGGTGTGGTAGGGGCATAAGAAATTTGGTTGTTCCGTTGCGATGTAAAATTTTTAGTGTTGTTGTTGTTGTTGTTGTTGTTTATCCAAGCACTGTTAATATTATAAGTACTGCTAATACTCCTGTTTTGATATTGTTGAGGGTAGTGCCGTCGCTATTGTTATTCTTCGTAGCATTCTAAATTATGAAAGATTCTCTTCATTGTTAATGAAGAAGTTATAATTGACTTTATCTGACGTGGGTATTTCCAGCGAGCTGATGATGCCCATCAAGAGGCAGCAAGAGACGATGAGTCATTCAAAAATTCTTTGAGAATGGGGGAAGGAATGCCCTGACACAAAGCTTTGCTCTTGAGAAACAGTTTGAAACTTAATTGATGGTTCCCTTTATCGAAATGGCTTTTTTAAGGTTCACCCTATTGCAAGTTTACCAGTTCACGGCGAACTCGCCCTATTTAATATAACAAGTTCGCCCTTACCACATAATAAACCAAATTATTGTACATTCAACTCACTATCTCTCTTCTGATCAGCTGAAAGCGTACAATGAATCTTCGAAATCAGCGCCTGGGACGTCATATAGCTTCAGATTATACATTAATCATGTCAAGGACACTCAAGGTTACAAATAATAATGTCATGTATGACCGCGGCGCATGATTTCTTTGGGTAATCATGTCAAGTTCGCGCGCTTTGTGTTGCTTGCTGATTTGTATATTTTTACACGTTTAGAAATTACCAGTTCCACTTACTGTCGTGACTATTTTTTTCCGTTCACTGTATAATAAAACAATTATTAGATGCGGTTTTTGTGATATCGGTAAGGGTTACCAGCTTCAGCCTTCGACTTCGACTTCGGCCAATAACCCCTACCTTGACCTTAATTATTCTGGATATCATAAAAAAACCCTGATCCGACAATTGTCTATGATAGGCTCACTTGGGAACGTTTTAAATGACAAGAATTTTTAATAATGCACCCACACGAAGTTATTCAAGCCACTTGCTGTTGTAGGGAATCAAGGTCCCTGTATGATTTCCCTATCGTCGATAGAACTGAATGATTTTCGATTCATGTCTTGTCACAGTATAGTTTTATTGATAATTCACACCTTCCTTACTAAATCAGTAACAGTGCCTATGCACTGTCGAGGTCATAGGTAGCGTCGCCACTCTGCACGGTCGTCCCCGAGTTCCGTTGCGTCCCCTCCCCCATCCAATTATTGACTCAAATTCACTAAATGTTTCAAACGTGTCTTGATATCAGTTTTTAAGCTTAGAGGTTCGACAGCCCAAGTATCAAAACCCTCAACCAATGATCGCAATGTTGCGTAATATTGGTTAAAGGTTTTGAAACTCGAGCTGACGAACCTCCCGCCTTTAAATTTGTGTGAAAATACGTTCAAAATGTTAATTTAACTTATGTCAAAAGTTGGGGCGATGGAACTTTATAAACTAGAGGGCGTCGGAACCTAAGGCGACCGTGGAAGGGGGCGACGTCACCTACAATCCGCTATGGAAAATTAGGTGATGTGTCTGAGAAAGTTCACAAGCTGAACTATGAAATATTTCTAATTTACTAAGGATGAACTCTATCACTGACCAGATTAACTTTGGTCAAATGATAATTTAGATAATTCATATATTGTAATAATGATCGAACGGAACATAATGTACTGTATATTATTTTGCTTACTTGAGTTACATGACTAATTTTATTCAC